TAAAGACATCATGCATGCATCAAATATCTTGTTCCATTGCCTAGGTGACTGTTTCAGTCCATACAAAGATTTCTTTAACAGACATACATAATCAGGATATTTTTTATCAATAAAACCCTCAGGCTGCCACATATATATTTGCTCATCTAATTCACTATGCAGAAAATCAGTTTTTACATCCATTTGTTTTAATTCCCAGTCAAAATGAGCAATTAAAGCAAGCATGATTCTAACAGTGGTGAATTTCACAACAGGAGCAAATAATTCAGTGTAATCAATATCTTCCTTTTGGGTAAACCCATTAGCCACTAGCCTAGCCTTGTATCTAACAGAGTCAGACTCATGTTTAACCTTAAACAACCACTTACAGTCAACTAAAGAGCATGTAGGAAGTTTAGGTACAATAATCCAAGTATGATTAACATGTAAAGACTTCATTTCATCATTCATAGCATTTAACCGATCAACAGACTCATTAGAATTCAAAGCTTCCCTATAAGACTTAGGTTCATTACCATCTAGAGAATCAAACACATGAAACACATGAGAAGCAAGTTGGTAATCATTCAAATGATGAGGCCTAACAATGTTTCTTCTATCTCTGTCCCTAGCAAGTTGGTAATCACCAAGATCATTCACAGAGAGCACATCAAGATTAACATTTTGATCAAAAACAGTATTTTCAGGCATCTCATTATTAACAACTTCATCATCAGAGTTTTTTTTTTCAGTTTGAACATAATTAACATGTGGAATCTCCACCTCAGTGGAAGTGGTATCAGGTGAAACAACATTAGGAACAGATAAGCATGGAAATTCATTTTCATTAAACACAACATTCCTTCTAATCACAGTTTTAAAACCCTAATCACCATACAACCAACACCTATAACCCTTGACCCCTTCAGGGTATCCTAAGAAAACTTATTTCACAGATCTGGGGTCAAGTTTATCAAGCTTTTGATGAACAAATACAGTACAGCCAAAAACTTTCAAATTTGATGAATCAACAGGTTTACCACACCATTTAGATTCAGGCAATTCCCCATTCAAGGGCACAGAAGGAGACCTATTTATCAAATAAGCAGCTGTAAAGGTTTTTAATTTATTTTACAGTTCTCCCTATTTCTTTCTAATCCTCTTGTTCTTCTCCAGTTCTCCCAATTTTTATGTATTGGTATTGATTCGATCGATTTTATTTTACAAGCAAGCGTTGCTCAACCAACCACAACTCTTGGTTGGAACGCTTCCATTGTTCTTTGTATTAATTTATTTTCTTCCCAGACTCGTTCTCCATTACCACTATCCTTTGTTTATATTTGAGAGTTTTTCATGTTTTTTCTAATAATTTGCTGCTCGAATCTATTAAAGCTGGGATTTCATTAGATTTAATTGATACTGTGATTCTACAAATCCATGGGCATTTGAACAGTGATTACTCTCATTCAATTTGATTGAAAATGGGTTCGTGGTGGGGATCTTTCTTCTCTCCGGCGAATACTTATCGACGCCGCCTCCGTCGATACGGTACGTTGTGTGTGTGTGTGTAAAATGTTTTTCAACTATCTCCTAATCTGAAAACATATATTCTGGAAATTCTGTTTTGCTGATTCCTTGTTTGATAATTTATTGATTTTTTTCGAGAGTGTAATACTGGTCACAATCAATTTGTACAACATATATCAGGCCTTTATTTTTCAGATGCATTCCGAAATTGAAAATATTGGGCATAAATCATAATATATTTGTATTAACACTGAATTAAAATAATGGCTTGAGATTAGTTTTTTGCCTTTTAGCTGTTCTGTGGAGACTTTGTTTTTGCCTGTCAGTAGTACCCAAACGCTGTGTTGTGTGATTCGGAGTTCTATTCTTGCACCCGAGTATTCGATTAAACATTTTATTTAAGAGTACACCAAAACTTCAGTTTTTTTAATTTCCTTTACCTCAGTAATAATTAGTATGAATTGTGCTAATGCTGTGGGATTTGATGATGCTCCATATTAATTTTATCTTGTTAGGCCTCGTTTGGTTCCCAATATAAGATTAAGAGGGTGTTTGGCTAAGCTTATAAGATGTTAAAAAGAGCTTATAAGATGTTTTAGAGCTTATAAGCTCTTCTAAAGTGTTTGGTAAATTTTTAAAAAAAGATCTTAATTTTTTTAAAAATAAGCTGTTGGAGACCAAATAAGATCTTTTTAAATAAGTACATCTACCCCACCTTTTTATTTAAGATCTTATAATGAGTAAAAATAGGAAATAAGCTTATTATCCAAACACTCTATAAATTAATCATAAAAATAAGATGTAACAGCTTATCAGCTCTAAAAACATCTTATCAGATGTAAGAGCTTATCAACTGTTTAAAAGCTTAGCCAAACACCCTCCAAGCCTAGATAAGAGCTCGTTTCACAAACGTTCTGGCCGGGCCGACAAGTTATTTCACTAAATAAGACCTAATTTTTTATTTACTTATCTTACCACGAAACAAGGCCTTACTTTATAAATTCGTCAGATATATACAACATTTCTTTGAAATATTTGAGTTCTTTACAATGTTCATGTTGAATTAAATACTCCTAAATGACGGCATGACATATTTGATTTGCTGGCAGGATATATATTGAGTAGCTATCTTAAGGGAAATGAGAATGTAGAAACGGCGTGCATCCAGGTGTTGAACGATGGTGCACGGGCCTACAATTGCTGACTCTGACCGCAGCCCTCCGCTGCCGCCCTCAAACAGGTCTTCCGCCGCCGCCGCCGCCGCCGCCGCCGCTTCGTTCGAGGCCACCGCCCCAGCTGTCAGTATCACTTTCCACCGCATTTTTCGCCCAATTGCAGACCACTGCCCCTTCTCGATCACATCCGACTTGGATTACTCAGATATTGTCGGTGCCCACCCCTTCTCTCCAACCCAATCTCACCTTTTCTCCAACCCGATCTCACTCATGGTACTCATCCTATTTTCTTTCTAATCCTCTTGTTCTTCTCCAGTTCTCCCAATTTTTATGTATTGGTATTGATTCGATCGATTTTATTTTACAAGCAAGCGTTGCTCAACCAACCACAACTCTCGGTTGGAACGATTCCATTGTTCTTTGTATTAATTTAATTTCTTCCCAGACTCGTCCGCCATTACCACTGTCCTTTGTTTATATTTCAGAGTTTTTCATGTTTTTTCTAATAATTTTTCGTACTTTGTAAAGTCTGTCTTCTCTTTCTTATGAGCTTCCTTTTGCTTTAGTTTTTTTTTTGTGTGTGTGTGGAATAGTTAAATCTTGTTTAGTTTGATGCAAGTGCTTTTGTTTGTCTTTCTGGAATGAAAATTCGGCACGAGTCATTTGAGTAACATAGATGTTTTGTTCTATAAAATTACTCGGTATATTTATCATATCAAGTTCAATTGAATTTATTTCAGTAAACTTTCGCTAATTTCTGATTTTTTTTGTGCAATGCAAAAGAAGCAGCAGCTGATGGGGAGAAGAAACTTGCCGATGTGCTGTCCGGGGAGCAGGAACGAGGTAAGTGAGAAGTTATATGTGTGGATGATCAACTGCTTTGGCGTTTGTGCAGTATGATGTTATTTTTTGAAATAGGATACAGGTGAGAAACTTTGTCTTCCTATCGTAAATTATTTCTATTTTTGTAAGCATGCTCCTTATCTCATGTTTTGGGTTTTTGTTTCGGTTTTGGTTTTAGTTTAGGCGATATGTGATTTGTAGATTGGTTCAACTTCGGTGTTGTTTAGAAGCGAACATATGTTTTGGGCTCTGTGTTTCATGTCTACTTAAAGTTACGCAAAAACAACTTCTGTTGGGTGCCATATATGCCTTCTTTTTAATATGTAACTTGCATAAATACACGCTGGAAATTATTTTTATTTTGTAAGCATGCTCCTTATCTCATGGTTTCGGTTTCGGTTTCGGTTTCAGTTTAGGTTCGTTTTTTGTCGTGGTTTGGGGAAATTGAATTGCTTTTCACCTGTTGCCCGTGGTTTCTCCCTTCCCCGTTTCTTCTTTTCCTCATGCCAGTATAAACAAAACACATTTTGCAAATATATAAACAGGGCACCGGCACCGCGCATTGCGCGGTGCTCCTCAACTAGTATATATATATATATATATATATATATATATATATATATATATATATATATATATATATATATATATATATATATATATATATATATATATATATATATATATATATATATATATATATATATATATATATATATATATAATTGTATATATTTTCTATAATTGCAACATGAGCATTCAAATTTTAAAATTGGATGGTGCGCAATTGGACGAGGCCGACGAGCTATAAAAATTAGGCACAAGAATCTCTCTAGAAATAATCCACACTTTCTCAACAATTAATTTTTCACCACTTTGATTTAAATATAAGGGATTTTTGTGATAAAGTCTCCAACCATACACCTCTATTATTCTAGGTTCATGGGCTATATCTCTTTCACCAATAAGCTCATCCCTTTAATATTTATTATAAATAAAGAAAACATTCATGTATATCCAAATATTACCGTCAACCCTTTATACCCAATTTTTAATATGCTACAATTTCATCCTTAACTTAATTTAACCTCAATTTGACCCTAAATTTTACAGATTATTCAATTTGACCCCAAATTTTTTTTTCCAGCCTCCAACGTTGACTTTTCAATTTTTTTTTCTTTTGGATTTTTCGCCGGTTTCCCGCGTTGACTTTTTCATTTTTTTTTCTTTTCTTTTTTCTTCTCTTTTCTTCCGGATTTTTTCGCCGGTTTCCGGCGTTGACTTTTTTTAGAGTTTTTTAAGTTTTTTTTTTTTTGTTTTTTTTTACGTCCGTCGCTAAACATTGACCGTAATTGTGCTGTCACTGACAGTAAATTAACGTAATTATACTGTCAATGATAGTTAATTAACGTAATTATACTGCCGTTGACAATACATTTATGTAATTGTTCTGCCGTTGACAGTAAATTAACGTAATATTATTATTTTTTATTTTTTGTTATTTTTTTTATTTCGTTAGATTTGTTGACAAGTCAACGTAATTATATTACTGTCGTTGACAGTAAAATAACTGTAAACACAATAATATTACTGTCAACAACATCAATATTATTGTTTTTTTGGGGTTTTTGCTTTGTTTGAATTATTCACGGAGTAACGTAATAATATTACTGTCTATTATTGTAATATTACTGTAAACACAATAATATTACTGTGGTTGACGGTAATATTACTGTTGTTATAGTAATATTGTTGTCAACCACATCAATATTATTATTTTGTTTGTATTTTGTTTGTTTTTTTTGAGTTATTCACGGAGTAACGTAATAATAGTACTGTCTATTATTGTAATATTACTGTGGTTGATGGTAATATTACTGTTGTTATAGTAATATTACTGTCACTCACAGTAATATTAATTCTTTTGGCTTTTTATTATGTTTACATTTGTTGAACGGTCAATATAGGAATATTACTCTATTACACAATAATAATGAGTTTTGTTGTGTTAATATTACTGTGCTAGAGATTAATATAACAATATTACTGTGCTAAACTGTAATTTAGTTAATTTTACTGTGTTTAACAGTAAGATAGTTAATATTACTGTCAATCACAACAATATTGTTGTGTAAACGAAAAAAAAAAGTTACAGAAAGAAAGAAAAGAAGAGAAAAAAAAAAACCAAAAAAACCCTAAAATTAATCAACCACACCAAAATAACATTATCAAGAAATGGATGACAAAATATTCAAACACGCTTTTATTTGGTCGGTTCGAAAATGCAAAGTACGTTTCTCCAAATCCAAGATGCAAGCAATGCTGAATGTAATTTCTCGTGTGATCAAATTTTCTCTTGTAATTTCTCCTGTGGCTCTTGAAACAATATACCTGAATGTGTGGACTAAAATATTAGTAGTGTTCAAAATTCATTAATTGATAGAAATAAAAATGGAATGACTAACCTTTTAAAGAATCAATGTTATAGTAAAGTGTTTTGGTCATCCCAATATCCCATCATTACAGTGAAGAACGAACATTAAGATCTAATGGACGTCCATAACCGCCATATTTGTCGTCCCACTCCTTCTTTAACTTCTTTGCACAATTCACAGCCATAGGGTTGCATTCAACTACGTCAATGAATTCAAGAGACGTACCAAATGAAAGAGGGATCTCTTTTAACTTGTAGCAATGTTCGAAGCTAAACCACTTAATCTCATAAAAACAAGAACTTGTCGTCACAAACTTCCAGTGCACTAGATCGGTGTCTTCAATATTAAGAACTTCGATTCTTTGGAATTCGTTGTCGTGAACTTCCCACTTTGGGCCTCGAAAGGCGTAGCATTTCAATTTGAGATGTCTCAGATTTGGCAACGAAGAAATCTTGTTCATTTCTTCCCACGGATATCCTAAGCCGCTCAAAGTTAACATCGTAAGACTAGATGGCAAGTCTGAAAGAGGAGCAAGTGGGGAGACAACCTGTGTCTTCAATATAGGATTCATAATGTAGCATTCTAGTTGTCCTAGTTGATGGAGATGAGAAATGTGATCAAAGCATCTCAACGGCTCAGTAGCATCAGGAGGCAGTTCGATTTTAATTGCCAACTCTTTCATATTAGGGATGTTTTGAAGCACATCTTTGGTACAACTTTGAGGACCAACATCTCTTAGTTTTAATAGGTTTGGTAGGAGAGATCCTTCACAAGGATGTGGTAGGTTGCTTCCCATGGTCTGAATATGCTTCAATTCTTTCATATTCCATATCTCAATAGGCAGATATGATAAATTCCCACCAGACTTTATGATGCTTAGATGTCGATCAACAATCAAGTGCTGGAGGTTCCAGAGTTTGGAAATAGAAGTAGGGAGGTTTCCATCATAAGTGAGGGCGAGGTATCTTAACTGAGCTAGTTTCAATACTTCCATTGGGAACTCATAAAATCTAATAGAAATAGCTTCCAATACCCTGAGCAACCTTAAATGTTCCAAACACAACGGTACAGGATATTCTTGAAAAACACCGGTACAGAGGAGAGAGCGTACCGTTGCAGCAGATGCCATTGAATCTTTTACATCTTCAATGGCAAATAGAATATTATTGCGAATGCACAATCTGCGTTGATATTTTATACCTTCTTCTGGTAAAGCATCGGCACGACAATTGAAGGCATAGAAAAACTTGGTCTTGGCAGCTTCTTTGTTACACATGTACCAAAAGGATGAATGAAGGTGTTGACCGTGTTTTTCTTTATGGTACATGATAACATTTTTCGAATGAAGCTCATCCAAATAAGCATAGGTGCCTTTTTCGAAAGCCACGGTTGCGTCTGAGTAATGCGTCGGATTTGGGTTAAGAAATCCTTCAACACTCCACAAGTTGATTAGTTGGTATCCATGTACCGAATGATTTTGTGGGAAAGATCCAAGGTAGAGAAAACATGCTTTTAAATGTTGATCTAAGTAGTCATAGCTAGGATAAAGTACTTTTGACATTTGATCATATGCATCCTTGTATACTGAATTTTTTTTATCATCCGCTACCTCGTTCCAGTACTCTATTGTCTTGTCGGCTTTTGATAGGATATTGGCAACCGTGATGATTGTAAGAGGAAGACCTTCACAATTCTCAGCAATCTTCTTTCCAGGTTTCTCGAGTTCATGAGGGCAAGGCATTGTTGGAAAATTGAGGTGTTTACCTCAAATGTGGGAAATATTGAAGTATAAAATTATGGGAAACAAAATCTACTCTTCGAGTAGATAATTGTAGTGTGTTTAAATGCTCAAATCCAATATGGGATGAATGAGAAATAAATGCACAAAGTAAAGTACTTCAATGAGCTAAAGTAAGCTCAAAGGGCTTGGTGGGAGGTGAAAAGTCACTTGTCCCACATCACGAAAAAAGCATTAATGAGAACACTTTAAATAGTGTCAAATGGATAGCTAGAGGTATAATCAAGAGAGGGATCAAGTACCAAGCCACACGCGCGCCGCCGCCGCCCGCCCGGACCGAGCCCGAGCCCGAGCCCGAGCCCGAGGCCGATGGACTTTGGACTTTGGACTTTGGACTTTGGAAATGTTTGGTTTGGAGTTGGGTAAGTTTTTGGGCTTAATTAATTAATCTAGCATCATACACGAAGGAAATGTTTGGTTTGGAGTTGGGTCGGTTTTGGGCCTAGAAGTAATTAAGTTTTTGGGCTTAATTAATTAATCTAGCATCATACACGAATTGGTGTGTAACCCCTGCGAAAAGACACAATGCTTTTTCAGCTCCTTTCATTTTCTAGAGTTGTGTCTTTTGGAACACAACTTTCTGAAAACTATAAATACAGCCCTAAGTGTTCCAGCAATCTCACTCAATCATCCAAGCATTCATAAGCATAAGCATATTCGCTGCATAATATCTTTCTTTCGTGTCAATAAAAGTCCAAAACGTCTTTTCGTTCGTTGTGTTCCAGCAGTTGTTGTGCTGCTCTGTTGGAACTGTAAGTCGTTTTATCTTGGGAGACAATTGCCGAAACCGAAGCACTGTTGCGGGGCAATTTTGTCTTAAGGAGAGAGAACAAAGTTCTTGCCTCGACTTTTCATTGTTTATCAATTCTTTCTTCAAAATTCCTATCTCGAAAACCACTACAAATAACAGGCATTTCATCAAACACCTTGTGACGAAGAAGAGCCCAACTTTCTTTCTTATCAAGGAAGGGTATTCTCAAAGTACTTAAATAGTTAGCACATTGAGCTACTTCTCTTAGCCTAGTTGTCAACAATACTCGACTTCCATTTTTCTGGTCTGGAAATAAGTTGACCAACTCAGAAAATAGCTCTTTATCCCATACATCATCCAACACAATCAAGTATCTCCAACAA